TGTAGCAGATTCTTAAAAAACAAAAGAAAACCCTTTCCGCGGCTTTCGGCGGACGTTCGGGCTTTGAATTCTGACGCGGTTTGGACTTTGGACTTTGGAGCACATGGGATGTCGTCAATTTTTCATTCAGTAAGATTCAGAAATAATCTTTAGTGAGCTTGCGCCCACAACATCAGCCATCGGCCCCCCAAAGTAGTAGATTTAAAAAATAAATAAATAAACAGATGAGAAGAGTAAATGCATTACAAAAATATATATTACTACAAGATAGGTGATTTAATGGTAGATTTTTTTGTGCAGTTTTTTTTTTTTTTTTCCTTTTTTATTTTAAATTTAGGCTTTAATCTCTAATTTTTATACTGATGTTCACACTCGATTGCTCAACCACTAACCTCAAATGTTTAGGAAAACAAAAGTCATGGATTATTGGAAGGTAAATCTCCTTTGGACTATGCTAACATAAACTATTGGATTTGTTCTTTAATTATAAATAATTTATTTTTAAAGTTTTTTAATCAATTAAATTACTTCAATTGTTAATGAAAATCGTATTTTCAAAAAAAAAGAAAAAAGAATGAGGGTGAATTGAGAATAAAGAAAAAAAATGATTCTCACACCATCTTTCATACAATTTAATATTAAAAAAATATAATAAATATATTCTTAACATGTGATATTATTTATGATTGAAGTAAAATAATTATTTTATAATTTATTACTAACCCAATACCCGAGCATTTGTCTTGTTTGTTAATGTTGTATTATAGTTTTTAACAACTTTTTCTTTGGCACAATGTTAGAAAAATAGAGAATTTTTTTCTTCAAAAAAAGGCAAATAAAAGATAAAAAAATTGATATGCAAACTATAAATTTTATAATTTTTTATAAGAGGTAAGTTCGATAATATTAAAATAATCACATTATAGATCTATTTAAAAAATAATAATAATTTTGAGGTACGTGAAAAATGGGTTTAGGGACGCAGGGGATAAAAACTAAAAATCATGCCCTCGGCATGTAGGCCCTCAGCTGCCATTCCGAGGAAATTGTCCTCACAACTCCGTGTTGTATTTTCCCCTTTCATGTAATTTTTTTTTTCCCATTAAAATATAACATACACATTTAATTGCCATTGGTCATCGGCCAACCGAAAGCAGCAATGCATAGTTGAAGTGGGACAGCCCGACCTGATGAGTAAAGTTGAATTATTCCCATTAGTGGAAAACATAATTATTGCACTGCACTTTGGTACAAATTTTACCTCAATAACAATAAGT